CAAACCATTTCTAAATATAACCTCCACTTTATGTTTGCAGAAGCTGTAAATCAGGCAAAACAATTTTTCCCTCCCCAATAAAATAGTTGCACCCAAAGCAAAATCAACCAATTTTTGGCTACCTACCAATTTGGCTTGGCCATAAAATCTTCTGACACTTCACCAGGAATGTCAGCATTAGTATAAGAGGGAATAGCTTTAAGAGGGAAATGAGTTTCTGAACTATGGTTATCCCCTGCAACTCTAAAGGAAAGATGTGTGTGTGTGTGTGTGTGTGTGTGTGGAGGGAAACACACCTGAAAACCAGTTTTTATAAATATTAGTATAAACAGGACAAATTATTTTTCTTAGTGGCCAAATCCTTCCTTCTAGTAAGTACTGTGCTTTGAACTCACTGAGAAGAGGAATCGTGCCTGTTTTAGTGTTGTATCCACAACATTCAGCACAGATCCTCCCATGGAGAAGGTGTTAAGGAAGGAGGGGAAAAGGAAGGAAGAGTGACAGAGGAAAGGAGGAGGGAAGGAGAAAGGAAGAGGGGGATAAGTTCAGATGGTGATACCTCCTCTTCTTTTACTCATGTGTTTTGTTTCTTTCCTGTGCTTTTAAGCCCGGCGAGGTGGCGCAGTGGTTAAGGTCCTTGCCTTGCACGCCCGGGATCCCATATGGGCGCCGGTTCTAATCTTAGCAGCCCCACTTCCCTTCCAGCTCCCTGCCTGTGGCCTGGGAAAGCAGTGGAGGACGGCCTAAGGCTTTGGGAACCTGCACCCGCGTGGGAGACCCAGAAGAGGCTCCTGGCTTCAGACCGGCATAGCATCGGCGCGTTGCGGAAGATCTTCCTCTCTGTCTCTCCTCTCTGTATATCCGCCTTCCAATAAAAAAAATAATAATAAAAATAACCATAGTTCAGGTTCAGTTGAGATTCATAATACAGTGTAAGCAACAATAAAAAAAAATAATAATAATAATAAAAATAAATCTTTTAAAAAAATTTAAAAAAAAAGAATGCAACTTGACAGAAAAACAATCATATTTTGCTTAGGACTTTCTGTCTGCAGCCAAATGTGTCATTCAGTATAATCAATTCAATCGCTAGAAAAAGCTCATTAGAAACTACCCTTGGAGCCCAAGAAAATGGTGGAGGGAGTGAGAGAAAGCTAGTGAAAGGTCCTTTCTTCAGTGGTCATTTATTCAATGGCAGTCAAGAGCATGACTCCTGTCTCCAGTGTGTGACACCACACATTCCATGGAGCCAGACACCAAGCCAGCAGACTCCGGAACGGTTTGGGCAAAGATGACACCTGAGTGAGTCCCAGCTAGGCAGGATTTCCACAAGGAAGAGCCAGAGGTGGGAAGTTAATCTTGGAATGAAGGGAGAAGCTGGCTACACAGCACATAAGGCAGTTTTTTTTTTTTTTCCTATCTTCCCAAATCGCAAATACACCCTTGGCACACCATATTTTGGAAACTGTTAATTGAACCAAAGTGTACCATTTTCCTCACTACAAACATTCTCACAGTTTTTACTCAGCAACTGGAGCAAAAGTGATAAAAGCTCCAATTTGCAATTCAAAAATCATTGACTTCAGGGAAGGGAAAAGCACTTTACTTATTAGCTGCATTAACTTGAGCAAAATATCCAACTTTTATGAAATTTAGTTTCCTCTTTTCTCATATGAAAGAATGACTGTGCCAACCTCCTACATTTGTTAGGAAACATCAATTGTACATTAAAAACTATGATCACTTCAGCACTGGCACTTAACTTCTATTTAATTTATCGTTGTTTCTATCATTCCCATTATTTCTGTTATTCTCAGCCAGGATCAGAAAAACAAAAATGAAAAATGCAATATGCAGCATTTATTAAACAGTTTGGTCTACCTCCCACCGGCTACTCTTTGGAAACGCTAGTATCATATGCTGCAGCCAGCCTGGTACCGAGTGGGAGTTCACTCTGTGTCTATCCAGGGAACAAGACAAAGAAATGATTACAGAGAGTCAAGGGCAGGACGGTCAGAGGATGCTTGGCGCAAGGTGGTTTTTATTATTTTCTTGGGCAGTAGGCTTCTGAGGTCTGGGAGGAGTGACTTCATTTTTCACTAGAAGGATAAAGAATTGAGAGCAGAATGTTTCAGCTTGAAAGAAGAAGCATCACAAAGAACTTATTTTGGTGGGAGTGTTTAAAGTGACTGGAATAATGAGTTCATGCCTAATGCCCAGCCACAGCCACCAGCCACAGCCTGTCTGTAGGGGGAGGCACCCGGCTCGGCATCACTAATGTCAGACATGTGATGTCCACATGTAACCCAGAGATGGCTACCGCTTCTCCAGGAGGAGACACGAGGCCCAGGTGATGCAACAGCTGACTTAGGACCCAAATGAAGCTGGAAGCTGGGGTGATTAGGAAGCCCACGTTTTCTGGCTGCACTCAGCTGATTGTCCGGCAGGCTTGTGAACTGAACCTCATATGATCATTTTTTTTAATTTTTTAATTCCTGAATTTATTTAGATAAGCTCATCTGTCATAAGTCACAGGCTTATCTCACACCCAGTTTCTAGAAATGAGCAAGTTGCACACAGAAACCCTGCCCCCTGAGGGCAGCGCAAGAAACCTGTGATGCCTCCCCCATTTCTCACCATGCTATACAGAGTTTATTTAGATCTGAGAAGGCTAAGAACACGACATCTGTGTTTCACCCAACCCAGCACTGAACATCCCTACCTATAATTAAGCATGAGCATCTACATAGAGCTTGAAAAGGAAATGATTTCACATTATAAAAAAGGTGGCGGGGAGAGAACTTTCCGCGTAGTCAGAAGCACATAAAAGAGGCCCAACGGTCAAATTTTTTAAAATCTCACAAAAGGAATACAGGGATAAGGAGGGAAGACATCAGATTTCTAAGGAACAAAGACCAGACCCAAAATGTGTGTATGCATTTTCATACATGTACACACTCACATACACACACATTTCAACTGTAAGCCACAAAAAGCAAGTGCATGGCCCAGAGATCCTACACCAAATCAAGTGTTACATTTCATTTTATTTCAATTGGTAAACCTGGAAATGGTTGGAATAGAAAGCAGAATTGACTGGAAACTTGTCAAGGCTGGCTTCCAGAATTCTAAAGAATTCTGTTTCCAAAGAACAAGGCTGCCCAACTCCCCCTAAACTAAAACTCCAACCAGAGATCATTAACTGTGATTGTACATCTTATTTATCATGCCCATTTGGTTTAGTAATCATGGAATTAGCTCAAACTTGATTCAACCTGATGATTCATCCAGCTAGATTTTTGAGTGCATTTTCCAAATCCCATCAGTATGTCTCGTCCATGGAACCACGGGTTACCCTCAAAACCCAACCCCTCACACTGCACCTTGTCCTCTGAGAGTTCACACGCAGTGTTTATTTACCATAAAATTGGAATCAACCAGCTACTGCTCAATAAAGTTTCTTGGCACATAGCACAGCAGACAGCATACAAAGACCTGAACTTTCGGACTGGGAGTTGGGAGGGCAGTGAGAGTAAAAGGGGTCCTGGTCTTCTTTATCAATAAGTCTTAATTAGGAGCAGCAAAAGAGAAAAATAAAAAAGCAGGCAAGAACTAAAGCTTCAAGCTTCAATGAATGAGTGGATCCAAACCTTGGAGCAAAGGTTTGGGCTTCACTAGGCTGGCCAAACTGCCCCTCCCACCACAGTAATTTCTGTGTTTCACATGTAGGTGCCCCAGATTTGTTCTGTTGCAGACAGTAAATCAATAGCCATTAGGTTCTCATGAGAGCAGCTCTGTTGGGCTGTTCTTTTAATCTCTGATTATACTTGTACTGCGACAAAGTTTGGGGCTTCTCCCAGCAGCAGTTCAGGCTGTTCCTGTGGGAACCCCAGTTGATATGTAGGGACAGTGGAGAAGTAATCAGGTCCCATGAGCCACTGGGCTAGCGACCGGCAATAAGATAGAAAGCCCTGACTTGAAACTGTTGCTAGCGTGAATGCCATGGTTGGATAGCTTAGCGGACAGAGTAAGGGGTGCAGCTCCTACACACAGAGAAGAAAATAATATAGTTAGCTCCTCAAAAGAGCGAATGTACTGACTACCAATGTGATTTCAGACTTTCTCCTTTGGAATCCAGGGGACCTGAAGTCATGCCATTGAATGGACTGAGAGAGACAATTCAGTCACCCAAGGTCTGAGCCAGTGGATGGAACACGTCTTTCTTTCTGTCTCTGCCTCTCCCGCTCTGTAACTCTGCCTTTCAAATATATAAATAAACCTTTTAAACATTCACATTTCACTTCTTAGTGTCAGGGTATACATAGTCAACAACAGATCTAGTTTACACTTGGTTCCATATGCTAGGCCCTAGGTAATTAAAGTATGTCTTATGGCTAATAAAAATGAAGATAAAAAGTTAAAGCCAAAACAATGACAGGAAATAACATGTGTGTACAATATGTTACTAACACACTGATAATTTTCAAAAGTCACTTTAGAAGAAGTATTATAAATCTTTCAAAACACAGTGATTTATTAAGCGAAAACTCTGAATTGTTTGGACTATTAAATTTAGCTTTTAAGCTGTTGTGTCATGAGGGGATCTTTTGTTCCCGCAGGTTAAATTTAGCATCTTGCATTTTGTTTTTCTAAAACTCCATGTTGTATGCAGTCAACTTTCTGAGCTGTTCAGGACAAATGCATTTGGGAATTAGCATGAGTTTGCAAGCCAGGAATAAAGTTTATCAAATAATTTAACAGTGACTTATTTCCATCTTCTTTGCCTTTTCCCACCTATACAGCATTCTCATAAAACCAAACTTCCCTAGGCATGCAATGAAATGGACAAGGTGGCGGGGCGGGGATATTAGGGGATCTGGGGGAAGGGAATGTGATGGCCAGAGGAAAACCATTTCAGAAATGTGTTTGTTAAACAAGTGCAAGCAATAAATTGAGCTTAGAAGGGAAAGGCAGTTAGAAGAAAAACTCAAAGTACTGACCTGAGAGTCAAGCTGATTGGAGCAAGGGTGAAAGCGGCAATGTGGAGGATAAGCAGAAAGGAAAAGGCATAGCGAAAGAGAATAAAAGGAAGGAAACACATTAGTGTTAAACATAAAGCCAGCAGATGTTACATCAGCAGGTTTTATAACCAAATGAAGGACAATAAAGCAACATTTATCTGATATTACCCCACCACCACCAAGGAAGGGAGAGGGGGGCAGAAACCCAGGGAACGAACTGTAAGCTGTTTTGTTAAATAGCATACATAAGAAACCAGTCTCTTCTCTCATGCACATAACCCTAACAGGCATCAATGTGATTCAGAGGTACAAGATTCCCACAGCATAGTGACTGCAGTGGCCCTTTCCAGGAGGAATAGAAAGTTCTTATCTGTACACATATAAAAATTTTACTATTTAATAAACTAAAGTGGAAATTACCACGATACGCGGCCTATAAGTTAGTATTGATGTCAAGAAAATTATTATTTGAAAGCAGCGAGTTGGATGATTATATATTTTTTTCAGTCCTGAAAACCAAAAGGAGCTGAACAATTTGGCTTGAGGTTCAAAGATGTCCATTCCAGATTCTCACAGAGGGCTGTACCTAGCAATGGTCAAAGATCTCATGAAGAGTGCTTTGGTGTGGAGCCACCTGCCTGTCAGTCTCCCAAGAGGGGACAGGGGAGCTTCCCAAGCTGACAGCAATTTTTTTCAGTTGTGACAGTGAAGTTCCGACTTCATCGCTGAAAACGGCCAGATGCTCGGTAACTTATTTGTACAAACATGTCTAACATACCCTTCTAACCATTCAAAACAGTAGTTTCTAAAATCAAGCCAAAAATAAAGAAGTCATAAAAATTATGATCATCTTCCTGGTTTCCACTAAGTGGACACTGCTTTTGTTCATCTTTCAAATGTTCTTTGCAAAAAACAAACTGCATAAACGAATTCCGTATCAGATAACTTCTCAGTGGGAACCCGCCCTCCCATGCTAGGGAGAAGCCATGTTAAGCATTTTACACCAGAGGAGACAACACAACAAAATAATTCTTCAGTATAAAGCTTAAACTGGAATATCTCGAATAGAAACAATATAGATGATAATAACGAAAAAATTAAAGAGAAATTTAAGAATTAAACACAGAATACAAGTGTTGATTTGCTAATCCCTCACATTGGAAATTTCCTTTCAGAAGCATTTGGTGATCATAAATTGCAAAAGCAGTGAAAAATGAGTCGGGCCAGTCATGGTCACTGTGGGGACTTGGGCAACGCTGGCCCCAGCTACCATTTCAAATCCTTCTGGATCAGAAGCAATCCACTGAGTGTCCTAGCCAAGATGCAGAGATTCCTAGGCTGAAGTACAAGTAAGAACATATTTCAGATTTAGTTGTCTCTTTTAAGGGTTCACAGTGTCCACCAAATTCTCAGAGGTATCCATAAGGTTTGTGTCCCACCTCAAAAGGTTGCCAGGGATGTTGTGTTACCACCTGTTACTTAATGGAAAGAAATGCCTTCAAATACATTAACAAACCCAGAGTGACACTTGCTCAGCAAGGAGAGTATACATATCAACCCAAATAAAAATGGTATCGAGTTTCTTTCAAGCACCATGAAACTTTTAGAACACATTATCATGTTTAAAAAATAATAATAATGCTTAAGTTCATGTTTTGAAAAGAGTTCTGACAAGCGTCAAGGAAATTACGTCACAGCTTATGGAGCAAATCAGAAGGAAAAATGATAGCCTCTCTCTCAACTTTAGATAAGGCTAATTTTAAGGCATCTACTATGATGTCTCAGTCTCTCAATATGTGCTGGTGTTAGTCCTGGACCCAGTGAAACTAAATGGTACCTTGTTTTCCATTCTGATGATATGTGTTAAGTGCAGACGCCCTGGGGATCCAGCCTTTTCCCCACAGCCAGGGAAGGATGTGATTGAGAGCTCCATTTGGGCATTCCCCATTCTCTAGACAAATATCAACAAAACCCCTAACGTACTTAAGATAATTACATGAAAGGTCACCCGATGGATTCCTTCCCATGGGTGGGATGCAAGAAATCCAGGGGCAGCGGGTCTTGTTTGACAGGCTCTATTAACCTCAACTCTTTCCCTAAGGCACCAAAGGATTAATTCTGAAATTCTAAATAATTCTCATAGACTTTGACGGGCTCCAACACAGCAGCACCACATATCTCACTGCCTCTAATGTTTCATTAGCTACTTGGATGTGAAGCAAATGTGATCACTGACTTCATCCATGAAATAAAGACCTCTGGCTGACTTGGACCAACTCTCAGGGGATTGCTTGAAGCTGTTAGGCAGGCCTGCATGTGGGGACCACACTGGAGCAATATGCACTGGAAGATGCAAAATCTTCAGTGGTGGATGACAGACATTGACCATGTGAAGTTGAAGGGGACAGCGCACTGTGAAAATGCCAGCCATGTGCTCCTTGGACCACATCTATTTTTGAGAAATGCAACCACGGGAAAATGGGCAGAAGAGCATGCAAATACAAAGCTCCCTGTAACAGAGGGGCAGGCTGACATCAGGATCTTCAGAGATCCCTGACCCAGGACGTTTGGTTGTATATGGCCGAAGTTCTGGAATATTTTCAAAACGCTAGCTGCTGTAGAAAGAGGCCTTTCCACTCTGGTATGTGACATTACAAGCCAGAGACCACAAAATTTATTTCAAGTTCACAGTTTTGGTTTTCGAAATCACAGACTTAATTGCAAACACTTCTCCATGAGTCTAACACGGAGAGACATGTCACAGTCCTAAGAGATCGTTGGTTTGCAACACTACGGAGGGATGAGAAGTTTGCAGTTTAAAGCCAGCAAGTAGAGGTATCGTCCAGGTAGTAAAAGGCTGCCTGACCATTCTGGGTAGATGTTTTGGTGGGAAGACACATGTAGCCCAGTAGATAATGCTCCAGAAAGGCTAACCAAGGCTGGTCCTTCTTTTCCCAAGAAATTTCCCCTCTGGTCTGCAACCCCCGCCCTCCTCAGGGGCTCTGGCTGAAGCTGAGGCTGAGACATTTCCCAGACTTTGTTCTGCTCCTGGACCCAAGACAGAGGCAGGCAGAGACCTGGGACAGAATCAAGTCCCACCACACGTTTTATGAATTACAGTGCCTGGGAGGCATCAGCTTTAAGGGGAGGCAAAGGCAGAGATAAAGAAAATGTGCAGAAAGTACATAAAGATAAATGCCTGTAAAATCACTGCCGCTTTAATGCATTCCATATTGAAGAAATAAAACTGTGAATATTCTTGATGATTTAATAGCAACAGTGTCCAGCCAAGACTTATTTGCCCAACCAGACAATTAAGCTATTTATATGTAAATGTTTTTGGTACTTGATCCCGATTTTCGCTTATAGTTCTGGGGAGCTGGTGCAGTACAGAAAAAAATGCCTTCTAAACGTGGGCACATTGCTTTTTCTTGTCAAAGAAGAGGCTGATCTCTTGTGGTCCAGCTATCATGACTGCTCTCATCGGCGCATTGGCCAGTCCTGAATTCAAATTCTGACATTAAAGCTTGAAGCAGTTGATTAATCTTTCTAAGTCATAATTTCTCATCTATAAAATGTTGACCTGGTTACTCCTCTGCTGTGGGTGAGATGAAAAGGCAGATAGAGTATTACAGGTCAAGTGCCTCACATATCAAGAGGCAGACTGCACACGACAGACATACACATGATCATACTGTCGATGCAACTGCTATTATTGATATTATCAGTACTATTCTTCAGGGTTTTGAGAGTAGTGAACTAGTAGGCAGCAAACCTATACTTCAGTTTCACACCTTTCTGACCATTGAATCAAGCTCTAGAAGGTCATTCATCTTCTCCAGGTCTCAGTTTGTTCTCCAATACTCCAGGCACAATTATAACTTCCACCTAAATGTTTTGGTTATAAAACATAATTCCTCCATAACCATAAGAGATGCATATAAAATCAATAGCATTTCCAACTTTTTAAGAATGAGTAGACAGACAGAACATTCTCATATTTTAAAACTGAGACAAAACCCTTAAGAATTTTAATTTGTATAGTTATCTCAAGAAAATAAAAGAGATCTAGACTTAATTGCTATAATTGATCACAGTGAAAAGAAATCAGATTATTAAATTAATGCTATGATTGTTTTTAAATTTTGTGGGTTTATAATTTTGATATATTGAACACTACATTTGAAAATGTTGCTGTAACTCTGTAAAGAATGAACCTACAGATTTAACACAGTCATTAGTATTGAGCATTCATATTCAATTGTTCATAGTGAAACATCCCACCTTCCATGGGGACTGCCTACTCTCACAGCATGATACATTTTAGTAAGTTATTAGAGCTTCATTTTTTAAAAGTTTCTGTTTCTTGGGGACTCATGTCTAACAAGAGTCAAGGACACACAACTAACTTACAAAAAGCACAAGCTGGGCCCGGCGCGGTGGCGCAAGTGGTTAAAGGTCCTCGCCTTGCACGCCCGGGATCCCATATGGGCGCCGGTTCTAATCCCGGCAGCCCCGCTTCCCTTCCAGCTCCCTGCCTGTGGCCTGGGAAAGCAGTCGAGGACGGCCCAACGCTTTGGGAACCTGCACCCGCGTGGGAGACCCGGAAGAGGCTCCTGGCTTCGGATCGGCATAGTATCGGCCCGTTGCGCTCACTTGGGGAGTGAATCATCGGACGGAAGATCTTCCTCTCTGTCTCTCCTCTCTGTATATCTGCCTTTCCAATGAAAAAATAATAAAAATAAATCTTTAAAAAAAAAAAAAAAAAAAAAAAAAAAAAAAAAAAGCACAAGTTAAATTTGAACCCATGTCTTTTTGTCCCTAAAGTCCACCATCTTTTGAAGCCCATTATCTTCCTTTAAGACTACAGAGAGCTACTTTGCATACATCTTGATGTCTGTTAGGGTTCACAGGCATCTCCGTCAGGGCTGGCAAACATTTACTGATTTATTCAAAATCTGCTGATCTCTTCCATATGGAATGAATCTAGAAAACACAAATTCTGCCTTATTGCTGAACCAATAGGAAATCCTCAGAGGTTATGAAGTTGCACAAAATTCTTCAGAAAGTTCTCTCTTGACATAAGAGATAGGACAAGCACTGATAGCAAGCTTATATGTAGAATCCATATCTAACATAAATATGATACAGGCATGAATGATCTCAAAATCTAGATGCTCAGGAACCTGCTTTGCAACAGAATTTGCCATCATATAGGTCCTGTTCAAGGATATTTATATGACAGACGCTAGAAATTCCTCTTAAAAGATGACCCTCATGGCATACCAAAAGATGGCCAAAGGGCATGAGCTCCTACTCCCTTCCCCTACCTTCAGTGAAGAATTCCTAATCATATTTCCCCAAACTCCTTCCCCTAAGACAAACTTAAACCATAAGTGTTTATCTGTGACGGAAAAGAACAAAGATTTCAAAATGCCCAAATCACATCTGTGTGTTCACTTTGCTGGCCTAACTGCTAGACCATGGCAATCACTCAACAAAAGTAGGCCATCATTTTAATATAAACATCCACGACGTCCGTAATTCCTCAAAAGATCAGCCAGGTGCCTTCTTAGTACCTTAGAAACACACAGCATCACCCCTTACTAGGGCATATGATGCATACATGACTTGTAACACAAACATGCATTTCAGATCAACCGTGACTGCCATGGGGCGCCAAGCCACAGAGATTTACCAGAGACAATTCCCATTGCTGTAAGACTAACCTCTCAAGTTCTGCAATCTTCTTGTCCTTATCATTCTTTTCGTTCTCTACCTCCTTGAGGATCTCCAGCAGCCGATCAACTTCTGCTTGGGCCTTGCCACACTCGTCCCGGTAGTAAGATGCCTCCTTATCCAGCTGTTTCAGCCGGTCTGCATACTCAGGATTCATCCTGGAGTCATCTTCAACATTATGTGCCTTTAACATTACATTTGTAGAAAATTTAGTTCAGACAATGATTTACAACTATAGAAAGTACAATAACCCATGGCCCAGCAATTAACTCTGGAGAGAATATGATCACCAAGAATGATGGGTATACTGTTAGTGGGAAGGAAAAAAGGAAGGAAAAAAAAAAAAAAGAAAAAAAGCATACACTTCAGGTATCTTAGAAACTGCTGATTTTTAATTACATGTCAGGTTTATAGAGAAGTATCTTTTATTGTTGTTATTTTGTTCTGTTAAATCTTTTGGCTTTTGCTTCTATTAAAAAAAAATGAGGGCTGAGAGGACTTTAGGATGAATAAAGATGTGATGTCTTTATTCCGGGTCCCTTGCAAAGCAAAATAAAAACAATTCCTCACCACTCAGAGAGTGATTCGTGCCAAACGCTTCCATTTCCAATGCAGAGAAATGGAAACAGTGTCATAGTTAACTATTTTCCAAAAAAACAATCCGGGGTGTAGATAGAGCCAGGGTCCCTAAGCACACAGAGACTGGCTGATGGACTCCCTGGGTGCTTCCCTCTATGGAGCAGTTTCAGCACCAGTTGCAGCCGCAAAAGAAAACTCAGAAGTGAGCAAGGGCTTCCCGGCTAACAGTCACACCCATACATTCTTGTCTTTTGGCGTAAGGTTGACCTAAATCAGGAGGAGGATGTGCTACTTCACGAACAAGCACACAAACAAGAATCTGCAAACACATGCATGGGTGGGTGGCGGCTTTACGCACGAGAACAGACACAAGCAACAACACAGCAACAACACTGCAGAATTATTTGCAGCCAAAGTAATTGTGGTGTGTGTGTGTGTGTGTGTGAGACAGAGATTTTTTTTTTCCCCAAAATAAACTTTTGGCTGAAATATTCCCAGACAGATGGAAACAACACTGCACTGCAATGGTGTGCCTACCCCTTGTTTCCCATTATTCCTAATCGACTTCTTCAAAGAGCAGGCAGGGAGAAAACAAGTCATTTAAAGACGGTGCACATTCAACACAGAAAGTTCACAGAAGTCATGGATGTATGTATCTCCAAGATCCACGTGTGAAATCATAAAATGACAATAAGTTTTTAGGACTTGAGTTGTTCTGCTTCCTTGCTATGCAGAACAGATGTTCATTGCATTTTATACACTTTTTTTTTTAAGTTCAGGGAAAAAACAAGGCAAGCAAGCTATAGCTCCTAGGGGAGGTCACGGAGGGGGAGGGAGGGAAAGTGGAGTTCAAATGAGTCATGCATGGTTAGAGAAATTAATACTAATACTACTGGTAGAAGGTTGACAGTCTTTGCAATGATTTAGTAGAAAAAAAAGTTTAAACGATTAGCACAAATAAAATATTTTAAAATAATCACTTTGAAAAGAATATTTTTTGCATGTAACATATTATTTAAGCATGAGGATAAGAGGGGAATAATTTACTTTCTTGGTTTTTTTAATATACTATTTCAAAGAATAAGCACATCTGTGTACAAAAACTTGGAAAAAGCATATCACTTCAACATATGATCAAGTACAGGTTACTCCCTTTTACCAAAATTTCTCAGAAATTATGTATCTACTTAGTATGCATTCTGGGTCTCAGTATAATAATTATTGAGCTTTTCTCAGCATAATTTAAATAATTTGAAAGCTACTCCTGTAAATATGCTTTTAGGAATTTATTACTCTAATCATTTAATTTTAAACTAAACAAATATTTATGTTTTCTAATCTCCATTTTTAAAATGAAGAGCAGATCTTTCAATTTAAAATAACTGCTCCAGATCCCCATTTGTATTTGAAAGAAAAATCATCTTATTACTTTTCCTCAGAAAAGCATCTAAAATATAGCTTTTAAACAACTACCTAAAAAATGTTCACATTAACCTCTCTGCCACACTTCTACTATATTATCATATTTATTCAACATTTTAAAACATTTCCATGTCAGTTCTCCAACTGCCCAGCCAATGACACTAAGATCTTTTCTTAAAAAAAAAAAAAAATGAACAGCTAGAAATACTGAAGATGAATCAATATATCCTAACTGTCTGCTTCTAACTAGAATTAAATTTCTTTCCTAAATCTGACTTTTAAAAATTGGAAGAAGAGCTAGAAGTTAGCTGTTACGGTTTATTTTTGTTGATTATATATTTAACGATTATTATTACCATCATGATTTTTAATAAGGGGAGGATGAGTTTACTAGATGTCAGATCTGGATCCTAAATCTAGCACTGTGTCTTAGTCTACAAGCAAGTGAATTCATCTCTGTAAGGACAGTGAAAACTACAGCATGAGGATATTACCCAATTTATTTATTGTGACTGTTTTATAAATTTGCACTCCTGAAATGGGACTGGTCATATAGCCAAGTCAATTGGTTTAATCAATTTTCATCAACAAAATCCAACACACTCCTTTAAAAAGGCTCCCTGCTGGATTTACAGAAAAAGGAGCCTGCTAGTGACTTAGGAAATAAGGCAAAACTTCAGATTAACACTAGATCTAAATCAAAGTTAGGAAACAAAAAGCGGCTAGCACCAAAGAGGAGGGTTCACAGGTATCAAAATGACACAGCACAAACTTATTTACAGTTACTCTTCTAAAGGCTAGACACTGATTATTTTCAGTCATATGCAGGTTCACCATTCCTAGAAAGCAAAGTATTAACTTTGGTGCAGAAACCTGCTGTGAAACAAAGCAGGAAAATATTCAATTGTAACATTTCATAATACTTTCCCTTTGAAAAGGGCTTTAGCAATTTTTAATAAAAAAAATCACTTCTCTCAAAATAACAAATGGTTATTCATAACCATAAAGGACATGGAGAATGTTAAACTAATGAATCTGATGATTTGTCCTTCCTCTTGCTTCTGGATTTGGTCAATAATTTGCAAAATTTGTGCATTCCAAAAATAATAGCAAAAGTCTTACTTGAAATATTGTACCCTTGTAATGTCTATGGTTGGTGCTTTAACATACATTTTATATCTTAGCAACAGAACAGGACCTATAAGCTTTTTGAAATATTCTGCTTGATTTTACTCTGCCAAAAAAAAAAAAAGATGAGCAGTCTTCACTTTTTAAGCTATGATCCAAATATTATTTATGAAAATGTGGTTTCAAAGTGTGAGTATGGGACTATAACTTGGAACAAAATTCAAATTTCATTTTGAATACCATGAATTGATACCAGGCATAACAGCTGAGCTTAGATAATACATTGGGAAAGTAGCTTGAAATCTTACATTTCCCAGTTTCAAGGTGTAGTTCCCCAACTCCTACAGACATTTCAACCAAGGAGGATTATGCTGATAGTTAATGGATTAATGTTAATGGTTAATGGATCAAGGGTGGAGACTTGATCTAATTATGCTAAGAGGTGAGTTGAGTGGGAGGTCTTTAGGTCACCAGGAGGGGAGGGAGGTGTCCCCTCCTAAGGCTGTCTTGCAAGAGAGCTAAGAGAGCCCTAATTCACCCTATCATCTTCCCTCTTCTTGCTCCCCCTGCAGAGCCTGAAGTAATGGGGCTGCCAGAATTTGAACAATGAACTTCCAAGATCATGGACTAAGGTAAATCTTGATTCAAAAGCAGCCCATCTTAAGTATTTCACATACAGTGAAGAAGAGCTGATCAACACACTAGTTTTAAAGATACCATTCTTTTCCAAAATTAAGCTAATTCTAGAATATCCAAAATTTTCATATTAAAACAATCATACCAACAGGGGATTTCTTTTCAGACATGGAACCAACAGGATATGTACAAATAAATAAAATAAATACCCAAAATAATTTTTGAATGTCACACAGCACAAAGATAAAGATAACCATGTCAATGAATAAAAATGGATGAATGTAACCACATTTCAGTATAAAATTACCTAAAATTAGCAACGTAGAAAATGGAGGCAATTACTCAGATGTTTTAAAACAAAGTGTATAACTTCAACTCTTAAATATCACTGCAAATATTTCTTTAGTCTTCACCCACTGAAAGCTTGGATCAATCGGAGTGTGTGTGTTTACATGGGTGAATGTGTTTGCATGTACAAAGTATCTGCCCTGAATTCTCTTTTAAATAGTTGTAATTTTCCACTGTGTGAGAAAATACTAGTCCAAGAAGAATCAAATAATTTTGAGAAAGACTAAAAAAAAAATCATAAAAAGAAACCACTATATCTAAACAGTGACTGTGAAAGCATTTGTATTTCAGCCCACCACGTCCCTAGGAGTACAGAGTCTTATGGTGACCTATAAATCAGGAATCCCCCACTGAACATTAACAAGGTCTTTTTTCTATCTCTGGAATGGAAAAATGTTTGTACTTTTTTCCTTCTCATAATCCCTTATGTAAAATGTGATCCCTGCAAAAAAAAAAAAGTGTTCATAACAGATGAGTTTCAAAAGAATAGCGACTAGATGGGGGTAGACATCGGAGGGTCTTTAGGATGCTCTGACTGGTAGCAAGGCTGCCCCTAGTGCCTCCAAATCAGCCATGTTCCTTGTAAAAATCCAAGTATTACATGAAAGCACACAATGGAGGGATCCACGAGGTCTAAGACCTCTGGATACTCTCTCCTGGCACAGTAACCACTAGGGCTCCAACAAAGAAGGCATTTGAGCCTGATGAGAAAGCCATGTTATTGGTCTAGAATTAAGAATTCGGGGAATAAAAAGAATCCAATTGAAGATAACCTGCATGGCTTTTACAATGAAAGAACCCGTCCCAGGAGCCTGGGAGCTGAACAGCTGAAAGGCTATTATTATAAGAAACAATAAGGATAAGAAGACAACATTTAAGCTTCCTAAGAAATGGCATTCCAGTATCACCTAGTACAATGAAGTAATAAAAAAGAAGAAAAATAAAGGATTTGTTTCTACTCTAGGAAAAAAATACTCATATGAGGACTTCAAAATTTAATTTGACTTTACTTTGATTTAGTGAGGACAGATGGACATGGGAACTAACTGTAAAATTATTTAACAAAAAATAACTGTGGTATACTTCACCAAAAATCAGGAGGGGAGCTATATTCAAAATAAACATATAAGAATGAAATAAATCCCATGAGTACCAATAACTGGTTATAAAATAAAAGATGAAATCCATCATTTATAATAGGAACCTAAAAATGTATGTGTAGAAATTCTTAAGACCAGCACTAAAAAGAAACATCAGAGACCTAAAATAAGAAAATGTCAAAATGTTACTGTTGCAACAACAAAAACCCAAATACCTAAATGTTGGATTGACTGCAAGAATGAGAAGTAATGACATTGGAAATGTAGCCATCATTGTAAAATTATTTTTTGGTAGAACAGAATCCAAATTAAATTTATTGGGGCTAGCACCATCCCTAGCAGGTAAAGCTACTTCCTGCGGCACTGTTATCCCTTCTAAGCGTAGGTTCCAGATCCAGCAGCTCCACTTCCAATCTAGACACCCACAACAACCAGGGCATGGCCAGGTTGAAGCTCAGAGTTGGAAAGTCAATCTAGATCTCCACGTGGATGACAGAGATCCATTGATTCCGGCTTTTCCAATCTTACATCTAGAGAAACAGATTCCACCTTAATTCTTTGGACTCTTTCATTCTGTATTGTTTTGTTATCAGATTCTTAAACTTTATCATTCCATTTGAACTTCAGGATCACAGTCAATTAAAAAGCACAGTTATCAATAATGTTTACATAGAGAACCATTCCACCTGCTGGTTTACTTCCCAAATGGTTAAAAGGACCCGGAACTAGGTCAGGTTGAAGGCAGGATCCTGGAGTGTCCTGGGGGTCTTCCCCCGTGGATTGAGGGGCTTAAGCGCTGGAGCTCTCCTTTGCCACTTTTCCAAGCACATTACAAGACAAAATGAAACAGTCTAAAGGATGAAGGATGCATCTGTGTCTGGAGAGTTCAGCCATGCACAGGAACTCTACCTGCCTGCCTGCCTGCCTACCTGTCCCCTACTCTTTCCTCTCTCCCTCTTTTCTCTGTCTTCACTCCACCCTGTGCCTCCCAGATTTAAAAAAAAGGGGAAAAAAAAGCTGTACAATTAAACACTTTGATACAATTGCATAAAAAGAAATAGTATTGGAGAGGAAAAAAGTGGAAAAGTAGGAAGGGAAGGTAAAAGGGAGAAGGAAGGTGGAGAAAGGAAGATGGAAGGAGGGAGGGAGACAGAGGAAACAGCAGCAACAGGAAGATCCCTGGGCAAGCAGCAGCACAGTGCTGCTTTTCTCCCACAATGAAACCTCCTGTCGTTTTCCCCCTAGATCCTTCTATACTTATACAAATTCTCTACTGTGACCATATATTACTTTCATAACTGGGAAAAACAAGTCATTTGTAAAAAATCTATTAAGGATAGAAAAATCCATCACACTGCATCCCTATCAGTACACACACACACACACACAGTTGGACCCTGAGAATATCTGCAGATGAGTTAAAATAATGAGATCTGGCCATATTCCTAGGATGCCAAACCCACGGGCCAGCTTCATTAACTTTGGGAGTAAAATAAGTTGATGTCTTTTGAATTAGTCAAGAAAAGGCTGGAAGTTTGCCTTCACAGACAGGAGAACTATCACGGGTACAAAGAAAGGGGAATGTGGATGATTTCCCTAGACCCTGTCCTGCCAGGGAGAGTGAACTCCTATCATGCTTCCTGGGAGATTTTTGCTGCAGGAACAGATCTTTGTTCCCCATTGGGGCTGAAACCCAAACACAGGACACACACAGATTTTCTCCCTATCCCTCACTAGCCAGCAGGGAATGTATCCACAGGATTGACACATTGCACCTTTTTGAAAACAACTGAAAGTAAAAAACAGAAACAAACACTTATGCTTCCCAGGGTGAGTTCCCATGCTCGAGGATAAGCCGATATTATTTGTCTCTCTTCACCTCTCTACTGTTTTAAGCCTGCTTAGTACCATTTCCATTTGAATGTGATGGGAGAGGAAATGTGATTATTTTTGCTGCTCTGCTAAAATCCATAGTTCAAGAAAAAGAGCAGTAATGCTTTCAGAGAGGTTGCTGTGAAGAACGAAGAGTAGGGGTTGATGGGGTTCGAGCCAAGTACCCTGGAGTACAGCCTAGTGGAGAACCAGTGGTTGTATTCTTTCCTTTGAGTCACACGGTCCCTTTTTTTTTTTCCATAATGGGAATTGGTAAGTAGGAGATAACCAGAATGCATGCCAGCATGATGGCATTGGCCAAAGGATAAAGGTACAATCGCCTTTATGCAACATCTTTGACCAGTAAGCCAGTGAGTGAACAGAATGGTTTTTAAAGCCCTCCTTGTTTAAGTCAAAAAGACAAAGACATTGCTTCACATAAGTGAACATGTGTCATTGGAACAAAAGAAACAATTGGAGGTGACCTCTGAGCTATTTTACAAAGTTTTTTTTTTTTTTAACCAGTTCCCTATATTTTGTACTCCATCAAAGCTATTAACAGGAATTGTTATTATCTGCTAGTAGGAGACTATTACAGTTTGTTCTCAGCCAAATGGCCCATTTTAACTAGTACAAGACCCACAATAATGTTAGGCATTTATCAGTCTCAGAGTATAGCCCTATTTTAGAACCTATGCCTAGTTTAGTGTCTATTTCTTGAATTCAGCACACACTGAACTGTTTGTTGTTTTACAAATGCTATCCCCTGTGGCCGAGAAGTCTGGGTTTGAAGGACCTGAGGGAGAACTCTACGAACCCAGGTCTTTGGTTGCCTCACATTTTCCAGTAGCATTAGACCTGAGATTAAAAAATCAGGTAGTATCAGAGCTGGCAATATTCCCTTGAGTTCTTAACTTTTAAATTTCTTATTCAAAAAAAATGCAGAGACCTCTGCACAGGCCATTTCTTAAGACAGAACGGAAATGAGAAGAGACTTGCAAATATTTTCAAAACCTCCCCAGGATGGTTGCCAGTGACAAGTGCCCAATGGATCCTCATGCTTTGATATGTTACAGCGGGAACTTTCAGAAATGACTTACTGGGTTGTACATCTGATTGAACAACTGCTCAGCTTGCTACATTGCAAAGTTGGGGAGGCATTGGAGCACAGACAGGGAAAGAAGGAAAGATCCAGAAAAACAGCATTAGCTCAACAAATCCAGTGCATCCGCACAGACGAACTGGTCATTAAAAAAAAGAAAAAGAAATTTTAGTTTCTAAACATTCCACAGTGAAAGTGAGAGGCTCTAGGGAAATAAAATGTTGACTTTGGCTCCTACAAAAGAATAGCTGGAATAAGAAATTGAAGGTTTGTGTTACTTTCCCTTTCTCAAGTTAAATAACCCATGAAATAAAGAAAGCTGTCCACTTTTGATGATACATGAAGTGCCGGCCTCCAGCCATGAATCAGAACTACTTTTGGCCAGGGTTACAATTTATGACCAGAACTTCAAAGATGGTAATAATAAAAGATTAATTAAATTTTATCGTTATATGTATAGCACTTCTTTCATATGAATGCAAACCTGAATTTTGCAGTCTAACATCTGAGAAATATAGATTATCAAATGGCAAGTTAGAGATAGTAAACTATCAGTATGTATGATATCATTGGATTAACTTATACGAGGGAGGAAAAAAATGTCAGTAGGAAGAATACAGAAAGAAAATACAATCTTATCTGTTAGTTATGTTTTTACAATTAATTAGCTGTATTACCTCAAAATTAGCTTAAAATTTCATTTTCAAAGATATCCTACTATATACAATTCACACCCTATCTACTTTTTGTGGAAGTTTTAAATGTTTAAAGGTACTATTATTTGAAACAGTACTCTCAGGTTACATTGTTTAAATGCCTGTATCATTAATTTGAAACTTAATGTCAAGGTATAGGAAATAAAATATTATAGGAACTGTTACTGTGCTTTATGCTGAGACATGCCTTTTAAAAGTTGGGATTTCTAGTTGTCAAGTCAATGAACGAAACAATATCTTATCATTGTTTAAAAACACCCACCTCAAGCGTGACTTTAATTGAGAAATTACTATGAGTGTAAATCAAAACAATCTGATTCGTTATGCCTTTTTAATTAATTTCCAGTCACATGGGTCCATGGATTGAAACTGAACTTCAAATACTGCTTTAAAAGATAATATGATCTGCACTTCAATAATTCAATATTTCTCATTTGACTGGTAAATGCATCTACTTGTAGGTTCACTTAACAACTAATAGTTTCACATTCTCTGGTTAGTATTGTTTCATCAGCCTCATTAATATCCTAAGGATTTTCCCACATTTTTATTGTTTTTATAGAGGTGGGATAGAGCGCGTAAGGAATAATTCCTTTTCTGCCTACAACCTTTTTTCGTCACCAAGTAGTTGAAGAAATTTAATTCACAGAATAAAGGGTTAAAAGCAATAATGCGTGCAAATGTTCTCCACAAACATGTACAGAAACTCACTTTACCAAAGGCAATCATTGCTCATAGACAAAGAAATTTTTCAATCATAAAAGGAAATTTCAATTTCCAATTGTCATTGGCAGACAAAGTTTCTGTTCAACTAAATTCACCTACAATATTCTGTAGATTTTACAGGCAGAATACCTGGATACTTACAAATGCGGAGCCAACTCCCACTGGGACTTCATAGTATATTTATGACATAATAAAACTATTATGTTTTTCAGCTTTCATTTTGTAAACCTTTATATTTTGTTCACAAGTCACATACCCTTTTATTTAAAAGGAGGCCCAGACACTCCTTGAGCTTTTATAGCTGCTTATTTTTCCAGGAGTAAATGATGTGTTTATATGTATGTTCACATACTGTAGCCTTATGTTTTGAAATATTTCATGTAGATCTCAATTCTTTTTAAGATGATGGGCACTTGAGGTTTTTATGGAACTGGGTATTAGCACAAATTAAAGACTACAGAAAAAAAATATTTTAAACTTTTGAAGTTAGTTAACACTAGAGAGCCAAAAACAACAAAAATAGCATCTGCAGGTTAGATATAAAAACATTTAAATGATCATTACCTTATTTAAACTCACTGCACTATGCGTTTAGGAGGTAGACTATGTAAATACGGAGAAATAAGTTATCTTTTCATAAATTAACTAGGCCCTTCGCAGCAACACAACCATGTTTGTTACTTTAAGCCTGGTGAAGTATTAGAATGTTAAAATGCTACGGGAACAAAACTAATTAGGGTCCCAGCATCTAGTGTGCAAATTTCAGTACATGACACTTACTCTAAGTGATTTCCTGGGCAAATCACAGCTACGTTGAAAGAAACTATACTGAATTGCGTAAATGTCGATATATTAAACTAGTCAAGTCATGTACATGGAAACTATAAGGACCAATCCAGCTCCTTTCATTAAAGAGAAAGTATCTGGAGGAGTTCACTTCTTGACAGGCATGTGCATGCGTAACACAGCACAGGGCACACTGGCATGTCAGAAACAGAGTCCACAACAGCACTGCACAGATACACTAGCCAGGCTCCATGGAACCAGTCTCGGATGGGCAACTTTGTTGCTCCATACTTCCACTGAACTAAATATTGTCTGAACTAAGTGAGATGTTGAGTGGCCTGGGAAATAGGTTTTGCAAGAGAGAGGCTTTTCTCGCTCTTTTCTTACAAAGAAATTTGTTCAGCATGCTCACCTTTGTATTGATAAGCAGACTTTAATGTAAAACTTCCCCTGACGATTTCCTGAAGTGTCCCATCAATTGAGCAAGCTCTAGTCACATCTCATTATACATTACATCATACAGAATGGTCTAGTAAATTTTAAAGTTTTCAGAATCATCCTTCCACAGATCAGTGATTCCTCCAGATCCCTCATTATCCATATCAAATATTTTCATACCTTCATAGCGAACAAATCCCCAGGCCTGTGTGCTATGAATTATACACAGTCACATTTTATTATAGACTTCATTGCTTAGATTTTTATCATCTCCTTTGAATAGGTTTATAACTTGTTGAAGGGAAACAAAACGCTTAAACTCATAATGTTATGAGTTTTATGTGAACAATGAGTGCAGACGTACCAAACAACACAGGGGTGGGAGGGGAAAAAAAAATCAAAGGAACAATGCATGACTGAAAATGCACTCCACAAAAATGCCCAGGTCAGAGAAAACACGTTGATGCCACGATGGAAAGATCCCAGGGTGTTTTCTAAAAGCCTTCTATATATAATAAGCATTTAGACAGAAAGCCACATTGGGTCAATTTTAGCCATTCCACAGAGAGGCTAAGGACTTCACTGCTTTAATGAACTTCCAGAAATGTAACACCATCAGAAAAACAAAAAATTGGCCAAGTTCTAACATAAAAACCAACCTTCTTCCAAAGTCATAAAAGTTTAGCTCTAATGGGGCCCCTGAAAGCTTTGGTTACAAACATTTCCATTATCTTTTTTATTTATTTTTTTTTTGATAGTTGAGATTTGCCTGGAGAATAATGGCTGTGTTTTTGTAATTTCTACTTCTGCTACTATTTTTCTTCTACTCTTCAAGTTTTCTTTAGACAAGAAATCTAAGACAATTTTTTCAGATTCACAGACAGGTATGATGGCGATAAACAGTGTTTCAATTTTTTTTTTTTAATCAGCAGACTGCAAGATAAGAAATTTATAATTTTGGAAAGATGTCTCTTCCTCTCCTGTCTTATGAATTCATTTTAAGATGAGCACGTTGTTTTCTGGAATTTCACTTACCTTTTTTAACTGTGCTTCCAGTTTGCTGCATTCTTCTTTCTTTTGCTCAATGGCTATTTCTAAAGATTTTAATTTGGAGTCTCTTTTCAGCCCAGCAGAGGCTAATGAAGACGCATGTTCTTTGAGATCAATTAAACTAGACTGAAAGGAAGACAAGGCTGGTCAGTGAAATGTTGCAGTTTCTACAGTGTCTTCAATTGGAACATACTGATTCGACATACAGCAATAGAGTATGCACTAGAAAGGAGAGGTAAATATAGTCATACTAAAGTAGCAACAGTTAGCTCTGACCAGAAAGTTACAGTTGGCCAACTTACAGACTGAAATGGGATCTAATGGCAGCAGAATCAAATGGGACCAAATGGTGTAATCAGAACAGGCACATCTCAAGTCTCTGAGTCATGCTAATGATATAAACCTCATGGTGGTCTTCATACACCATGGCAAAGAAAGGTCCCAGATTTGCCATTTTCATGTATCACTGCCAAGCCTAACAAACCCTAAGTCAATAGAAAAGAAAATACCAGCTCGAATGCCTTCTCTCCAACTCAGAAACGTATGTATGCCTGTGTGTGCATATGTATATATTCATGTGTATATGTATATATGTATGTGTGTGTATATGCATATACACGTATACACAAACCATCCTATTTTATCAGATTCTTTTTCTTTAACCAAAAGAGATCACTGATTTTTCAAACATCAGTTGAAAAGTTAAAAAGTATTTTAAAATTTGGAGTCAAGTGGACTTCATGGTCTAGTCCTCTGTAATTCAAACTCAGCAGAGACAGTGGATTTCCCCAGCTCTAACACGGACTCTGCCTAAATAGTTACCGGTCATCAATCATGTCTGTGTGCCTTTCTGTTACACTCTTAATTCCAAATTAAAGAAATAAATATCAACGTTTCATATCTGGGAAGGTGTGAACCTAAGTTAATATCTCAAAAGGTATTGCCATCAGCAAATATAAAAGGGTTAGCACAGCATCCCTATGCCTCAGATGTTCAGGTTTGAGGGCAAGCATCTGGCCTGGTGGTCAAGCCACTGGCTGTAATGCCCACCACCCACACTGGTCTGCCTAGGTTCAATTTTCTGTCTATATATAAGTAGCTTCACCTAACAGTGCAGACCACAGGAGGCAGCTGCTGGCACCTCAAGGAACTGGACTCCTGCCATCTCTACGGGAAACCTGGATTAAGTTCCCAGCTCTTGGTGTGAGCCTGCCCCAGTCCTGCCTATTAGGGATATCTAGGGAGTGAACAAGTGGATGAGGAGACCTCTCTTCTCTCTCTCTCAAAATGTTTCAGCTTAATTCCAAACCAGGCACAGAGTCTTTCTCTCTTTTAGCTATTTACAGCATCTAGGAAGGTACTGCGCACACAGTGATCACTCAGTAATTAATATTGCCTAAAACTTTATACTAGGTTGCTTCATAGATACTTGAATGACCTTGACAATGACAGTCACCATCATTCAGCAAGGTGTTCTTAATTCTTCTCTGTGGGATTGGTTAGCCAATGACTTCTTTTACTTCGGGACACTGAAGTTCACATTAACTCCCTTATCAAAAAGCCACATAGTGATTAAAGGCAGAAACGGGTTTCAAATGCAGGCCCACAAGTCTGATTTCAATTCTCTTTGTCCAGCTATTCTGTCAATAGTGAAGAATTATTACAACTCCAATGAAATATAAGCTCCCTATTAATTAATATCAACTCTACCAGAATCTTTTAAATTAGCCTTGTGTGAGGATCAGTTTCAGCCATCATGGTGGAACTACTGCCCCAGCTGTTAATCAATGCATCTCTGTGAAGGTATTGTGTTGTCACGACCAACATCTACACTTGACTTTAAGTACAAGACTTTATCTCCAGAACTCTGGGTGGGCCTACTCCTATCAAGGAAGCACCTGAAGCATAATGAGATCTCCCTGCAGAAGAAGAAATTACATCTTGGAGCACAGTGTCACCTGTCACCCGTTCTTTCTTATAGCCCACCCTGTGAATGACATACAACTATGCCTGCACGGCAGTGCAGAATGAGTCCATCAACCTGTTTCTAGTATGGTTCTGCTTTCCTGGTAGAATCTGACTAATACATCTAGCACAATGCCAAGCACATTCCTACAGGAACAACGTTTCCTGACATGGTATCTGAACTTCATCCAATACTTGCACTGTTGACAAAACCAGTTACATTTACAGCTTATTTTGCAGGGCAGCATTGTGACACATGGGTTAAATTGCCTACTGCACCCATAGTATCCCATCATGAGCACTGGTTTGAGTCCCAACTGTTCCACTTCTGATCCAGCTGCTTGCTAATGTGCCTGGGAAGGCAGAGCACGATGGGTCCATTTGTATTTGGATTCATGTCACCCCTGTGGGAGACTTAGATGGAGTTGCTGGCTCCTGGCCTCACAGCCTTGACTATTGCTGCCATTTGGGGGGTGAACAAGCAGATGGGAGATCTCTATTTGCCTAAATCTGTCACTCCAGTGATAAAATGAATCTTTTTAGAAAGCTTCTATTCATGGAGGACTCAAGCATGTTTAATGGTCTCTGCAATGAAAAGTCTCCACACTGGTTTCAAAGTGACAGGTACAAAAAGACTACTTCCTCCCACATGAGAAGGTTACAAGTGAGTTCAGAGCTTCTGTGACTCCTGTCACTCAGACCATAGTGATTTCTTGAGGATGGAATTGGCAGCGAGATAGTTGGTAGAGGGCTTAAATTTCTTTTGAAATGATCCACTGTTTTAAAAAAAGCATTTTCCTTCAGTTATAGGCTTGACAGACTTTGCTTTGTCTTTCCTCCAGACTTCCCTTATTCATGTTCTCCTTTGCCTGGATGCTTAATGAAGACAAGAGCTTTTAACCAGAACAGGATTATCACTATTTGAGGAGTAGGGAGCAAGGGGTGCTGGGAAACAGGTGCGCAGTGTGCAGTCCAGTGGGGAGAAAAGGACTGCATAGTCCTAAGGGAGATGCACATCTTCTCCAGGCAAAAATAAGAGTGAAGGGGTCTACTGTAGACAATGACACATATCTCAGAGCTGTAGAGAACAGACAATGTACCACCACCTCTCACACACCCCAAAGTTGGAAGGCTTACGGCAGCTATTCACTCCACCTTTCCAAAACACTACTTGGAATGCCTGCATCCTATATCCCAGTGCGTGGGTTAGAGTCCCCGCTTTCCTTCCAATTCCAGCTTCCTGTTGGTGTTTACAGTGGAAGGTAGCAGGTAATAGTTCAAGAACTTGGTTCTGTGCCACCCATGTGGGAGACCTGGACTGAGTTCCAGCTTGTGGCAGTGGCTGTTGGGGTAGTCTGCTGTCTCTTGCACACTCACCTCTTTCTCAGTCAGCTCGGCCTGTAAAGCATTGACTTTCTCCTTCAGGTCCTTGTTCTCTTTCCGGAAGGATTCTATCTCTTCTAGTCTTTCTCGATCATCTCTCTCCCGCTGTTCTTTCAGGCGCTCAATGATTCTCTCCTGGTAAGCAATCGTCCAGAAAAAGACATGAGAACCCATCAACAACACAATGTATTAAAAGATAAAATTAAAGGAAATATAGTCAAGCAATGCCCTAGGAGAATCAAAAGAACCAAGAGCTGCGGTTCTATGTGTGTGCAAAGAGGCATTAACACCGTTTGGAAAGACACTCAACAGATTTTGACTTATTAACCAAAGTTAGCATCAGAGTGCAAGGTATCTTAATGCTCAAGCTCTGAGGCTGTTCTTGATTCAAGGTAGTACCCAGCAAATTCCTAGAGACCAGTTCTAGAAGAAAAGTGCAGGTACCAGGATACAAGACTCACAGAAGTGACACAGCAGACTGATGGCTCGGCTCAGCCCTCTTTGCTTTGCTTCCTGGTTTGCCATTGAAAAACCTTCCTTCAGTTTCTAGAGACTCTTCTCTGGGTAGTCAGGGGATCAAGAGAGGGCAGACCCCAAGAAGAATCTTTAGGAACAGGTCTTTGGTGTAGCAGCTCAAGTTCTTGCTACTCTACTTTCTGTTCAGCTTCCTGCGGCTGTGTAACCATTGAGGCAACAGAAGATAAAGTACTTGGGCAACACTGAGTTTCAGGTTCCTGGTTTCTCACTCTGGCCAAGCACTGACTGTTGGAGGCATGTAGGGAGTGAACCAGTAGACAGAGTATCTTTTTCTGCATCTGTCTCTCTGTTCTTCAAAAAAAAATTTTTTTTAAGCCTTAAAAAAGAGGAAAATCGTGTTTGGATAAAGCTTGAATTGGATTTTTTAACTTATTTTCAAATTACACAACACATAGCCGAGATTCGTTTTGGATGGCCACATGAAAAACTGTGTGAGGATGGCACTGTGGTGCAGTGTTACTCAACACTTACAATGCTAGCCAGCATCCTATATCAGAACACTAGTATATGTCAGGCATCCTGTATCAGAACAGATGCTGCACTTCTAACCCAGACCTCCCACTGAAGCACCTGGAAGGGCAGCAGAATACAGACCAAGCACTTGGCACCTGCCACCCACGTTATTACTGACTTGAGTCTAGCTATTTCTCCCATCTGTGGAGTGAGCCAGTGAATGGAAGATCTGTCCCTACCTCTCTCCCTCTGTCATTCAAATGAACAAATAATCTTTAAAAATATATATTGATGCAATAATTAAGCCTGAGAATCCTTTACATTCTTATGAGCACAGTGGAAGACAAGGTCTCATATGTAAGGCAACTATAAAAGAGTGTTTAATGCAGAGGAGAGTCAGCTTGAAAACTTAGCCTGTGATTTAGAATGCCCCAAGGAAGAAACTGTTCTCCCCAATGATAATAATTTATGCATTAGTGCTTTCAAGGGGGGAAATGTAGTACCATTGCTGTTTTGCAAATATTTAAAGACACTTTAAATAAAGTATATTATTACAACAGTGGGGGTAGAAACAGAAAAATGAGTCTATTAATTGCCTCTGAGTTTGTGATTCTAGTGGCTCAGCTCATGACAATGGTGAATGGATGGCTATGCGATCTGTAAAAGAAGAAAATAACCAGAGTGTGTGGTATGTCTCTCTTAGGGGCTTCCTAAGACTTCAGCAATTGAGCCCTTGATGCCTGATGCCTTGGCAACCATGGGTTACCCAGACACTGGGCCCTCTCCATCCCTTCATTTCTACACCATGTGGCTGTGGAGTGACATTTCCTAAGCCTCAAACTGATCATGTCACCTTACTATTTTGACCTTCCCCTCAGCAAGAATCCCTCTGCCAAGACTGTACAGCATTTATTTCCACTCAACACCCTTTTCAGGTCTCTCTGCCAAGTCTCCTCTCCAAGCCTACCTTTCTAGAGGCCAACACTCAAATCCTATGCCTCATTTTAACCCACGGCCATGCCAACTGAGTGGCATACAACAGGAATTAAAAAACCTGATGGAAGGAACCACAATTCAAATCAGGGATCATCTTGGCTTCAGAATAAGGATAATAAAATAAAGCCAGCGTGTTAACATTTAGAAGGTGTCAGAGTCATTGGGAAAGTCGGTTACTCTGCTCCAAGCACCTGTACTATTGTTTGAGCATTGATGAACCCCCCAAAAAATCAGGAATTACTATAATATTTTTAAGTGTTATTGATGATTCAATACTATAAAATATTTCTTCGTCAATCACAAAACTAATTTGCCTGTCAGCTACACAGAGCCAAATGTCAAAAACATGTGTTAAAAGGCTCTAATATGCCATGATCTACTTGATTAACAACTAACTTGTAGAAATTCCAACAATGTGTTCTTGTTTTAGTCTTATTTGCATTGGCAAGCGCTCCTTAGGCACTCCTCTGGCTCTGTACAGGTCTAATCTATTTGTACTTTATCACCAGGCGGGAACTGGATTGTAGTGGCTTCCAGCTCTGCTATCTGGCTTTTTCCACTGCTTATCTACTGTGTGGCTAGCTTGGCGAGACTGGCTTTGTAAATACAGTGGGTTCCGTCTCTTGCGCTTCTGTGTGTCAATCCTATAACTAAGTCCAATTCCATCTTAATTCACTGAGTCGTGTTTTTTTTTTTTTTTTCTGCACACTCTCAACAGCTGAGTAAATCCCTGGAAATCAAAAGGAATAACAAACTCCCTGGGATGTCATAATCCCAGGGAAATAGTGAAGAATGCCTGATGAATTCTAGTTACTGGCCAAGAAGACAGCAAATACTTAAATGTACTTATGAATTCATGAGTATCTATTAATCATTTTATTTTTTCACATCATACCTTGTTTCAGGGGATCTGTTCAATTAAATGTGGATAAAATGGAATTTGTGTGATAGAAGCCATTTACAGTACACTGTGATACTGTCAAAAACTTAAGAGCCTGAGGGTTTGAATTACAGTTGTACTGCATCCTCCATGAGCCCAATGGCCTTGAGATCATCCAAGGGAGGCAACAAAATCCCCACCAAGTGACTATTTAGAGTGAAAATGGCTTTGAGGCATTCCATCTTGACAGGATAGCATGTGTCATGATTGATTGATGATGTCTGTCTCTACCTAGAAACAAGGAATGCTGATGCACGTCTCCAGAATTTTCATTCCTGAGCAACTCATCTCACTTCATTGAGTCCATTTCTCATCTTCAAAACAGAAGAACATGGAAAAGCGGTCTTCCAATCTCAGGCATGAGAATCCTGGGCATGCTTAAAAACCAAATGCTCCTGGGTCCCATACAGGAGCATCTGTAAGAAAAAAACCAAGAGCTCCTAGGCCCAATAGGAGAGCAGCTATAAGAAAAGGGACCTAGGAAACGATTGTAAGACCCTCTTTGGGAGCAGGGGCACTAACGTTTGTGTGAATGGTTAAAATGCAGCCCAGGATGCTCAGACCTCACATTGGAAATGCTTGGATTTGAACCACAATTCTCTTAACTCAAGTTTCTTGCTAACATGCACTGTAACTACTCAAACTTCTGGGAGGCAGGGTCATGGCTCCGGGTTAGGGTCAGGGTTGGGTTGCTGCACCCACAGAGGAGGCATAAGTTGTGTTCTAGGTTCCTGGCATTGGTATGCCCTAGCACTAACAGTTGCAGCCATGTGGATAGAGATTTTTCTCTTTCTTTCTCCTTTTCCTTTGTGCCAAGCCTTCCAGATACAACAACAACAACAAAAACAGGTGGGAAGACCAGCTGGCTACCTATAAAGGTTTAATACTCATAAATAAATAAGTCCTTTTTATTCTGCGATAAACTTGTCAGTTCCAGCTCATTATTTTCTCCAAATGAGAATTCCACTTTGGGCACACTTTGAAAAACTTCCTCCAAATAAATTGCTGTTTATTTTGATCCTTCATCTCTCTGAAAGACTGAAACTGAGATGCAAAAAGGTTTGGAAACAAACACCCCATAGGCCAATACTAACCCTCAGACACATTTTGGTGTGCTTTGAGCATCATAATTTTTTTTAAAGATTTATTTTATTTTTATTGGAAAGGCAGATTTACAGAGAGGAGAGACAGAGGAAGATCTTCCATCTACTGATTCACTCCCCCGGTGACCACAACAGCTGGAGCTGAGTCAATCTGAAGCCAGGAATTCTTCCAGGTCTCCCATGTGGGTGCAGGATTCCAAGGCCTTGGGCCGTCCTTGTCTGCTTTCCCAGGCCACAAGCATGGAGCCAGATAGGAAGCAGGGCCCCCAAGATCATAATTGGCGCCCATATGGGATCCCAGCACATGCAAGGTGAGGACCTTTAACCACTATGCTATCATGCTGGACCCAAGCATCCTAATTTGTTAAATCTTTAACTCAAACCTTTTGAGACAGGTCATACACACTTACCAGCAGCCCATCCTGTCTTCCACCAAGCTCATGTTCCCTTTTGTTTGTTTTGTTTTTTCCTTTTTTTTTTTTTTTATCCCTGCCTGATATTTCTTCTAGTCATCTAAGACTCCAGCACGTCACCTATGGTCCAATTAGGATGTGATGGGCCCAGATACTGCCCAGCAGCAAGCTGCATAATTCCTCATCATGGTGGTTCCAGAAGAGAATGGAACATAGAGGTCAGCCAATTCAAATGGCCTGTTGAAGATGAGACACTGACAGGTTCCTGGAGCAGAGGCCTTGTCCTCTGATGATGCCACTCTCCAGCGGTGAAGCCACTCTGAGAAGAACGGACTCCTGCAGACCTGAGCTTTCTTTCCAGGAAACCTCCTCAGCCCCAAAGAAAACACTTCAACAAGGGGGAGTAGTTTCAGATTTGGGACTAGCTCTGGGATTTGAACCAGAATAAATCAAATCTTAATTGGACTTGGAGGGGGAAGAAAAGATAAGATCCTGCCAAAAATCCATGACATGGAAAATTACATGGTATATATGTGCTTCTGCAAAAGAAAGAAATTGAGAGGTAGAATGGACTGACACCAAATCACCCAAAAATGCAAAAGGGACACATAATCTTTAATAGTTTTTGAACCAACATTCCCTCCATTCAGATTTGACAAATAAATGCATTATGACATATTCTGGAAATGCATTCTTAAAAGTTGACAAAAGAATGCTTTTCCCCTAAAAGTTATCTTTTGAAATAGTTTGACATGCCTTTCAATAAAATCTTACAATTATTATTTTATCCTATACCTAAAGTTTTAGTAAAAGCATAAAAACTATATAGCCTTAAAATTATGTCTCTTTTCTTAGCTTCAAAAAAGAATTTTTTTTTTAATTATACAGCAGTGATTCTCAGACTAGGGTGTGTACCAACATGAACTAGGGATATTTTTAAAGTGCAGATTTGCAGGTCCTATGCAAGGTTCTGAATGGGTAAGATACTGCTGGGCCCAATAGTTTAGATTTTTCAATAGGGACTTCTCGGCGGGGGGCAGGGGGTTGGTTCTACAGTAGCAGCAGAGAAATCTTCTTTTAGAAATACAGCCTTAGGGAACCATGGGCACTTGAATTTAATTCCTCCTCTCAGCTTATGGGAAATGGGAGGCCCTGGGAGGGAGAACTCCATGGCAGACTCACTCAGCTACTTAGCAGAAGAGCAAGACCAGCACCACAGTCTCGTTCCCCTGGACCTTGATAATGGCATGCCATCCAGAATGGAAATCTCACATTGCCGCCTGTCCTTCTGCTACCAACTGCTGCAGAATCCACAGTCATGAGAAACACTAAGAGAACACAGCAGGCTCTGTGGGGGACATTTGGAAAGTGAGGAAACAGGTGTGTAGACTAGCACTTTAGAGGCCTATTAAGATGCCTGTGTTCTATCTTGCAGTGCCTGGGCTTGAGACATGTCTCTGGCTTCTGGTTCCAGCTTCCTGTGAATGAAACCCTCAGCAGCAGTGGTGATGTCTCAAGTGGTTAGGTCTCTGCCACTCAAAGGACCTTAGATTGAGTTCCTATATCTCAACTTTTGGATTTTCTACCATCCCAGCCATTGAAGGCATTTGAGGAGTGAACAGGTGAATAAAAGCTCTCTCTCTCAAAAAAAAAAAAAAAGGACAAACAAAGAAAAATGAGATTTTTGTTGCATTCTGATTCTGAAAATAATCAATATCAAAGGGCCTAGATGCTATTTTGAGAACTTGACTAGAACATAGTAGAACATACTAGAGAACTTGACCAGCACTCCAGTCATTGCTCCAGGTACTGTCCTTGAACACTTACAAGGGCAAGGATACGAGATACACAAAATCAACCTGCAATAAATGCCCAGAGAATGAATGGATCCATTTAACAAGAACAAGATGTATTATAAACAATTTTCTAAGTCAGTAAGCATCAAAACTTGTCCAATAGATATCATTAATCCATTCATAATTTTACTCTAAGTAAGTTGTAAGAAGGTAACTTTCAGAATGGCTTCCTATTTGCTTCAAAATAAAAGCCAAATTGAAAAAAAATTTTTTTTTTCTTGGTCCTGGCATGGTAGTCTTCTGGCTAAAGTCCTTGCCTTGCATTTACTGGAATCCCATATAGGCATCGGTTCTAATCGCAGTGGCCCTGTTGCCATCTACCTCCCTGCTTGTGGCCTGGGAAAGCAGTCAAGGATGGCACATAGGCTTGGGACCCTGCAACCATGTAGGAGACCTGGAAGAAACTCCTGGATCCTGGGTTCAGATCAGCTTAGCTCCGGCCTTTGCAATCCTTCCTCTCTGTCTCTCCTCTCTGTATATCTGACTTTCCAATAAAAACACATAAATATTTAAAAAAAAATGTATTTTCTCTTAGCAGCTCCATTGCCCCTTCACTTGTTCATCCTCCTAGTGCCAGACCTCTCCTATGCCTGACACAACCTCTTCAAGGACCTAGGGCTCAGCCCTTGTTGACATCCAGGAGAATAACTGAGGGTATCTAGGCTGTGCTCCTAAGGGAATGATTAATAACAACAATGACAACTATAATTTATATTCCCTGTTCTAAACACATCCTGTATCTCAATGCATCTGTTCTTCAAGTGTTGGAATATGTGCTATTATCACAATTCTCTTCCACAGAAGCAGCAACTAAGGAACTGACAGCTGATGTAACTTGTCCAAATGGGTGTATGTTCTAGACCCAGCCGGTCCAGCTCCCAAGTCCCCATGGCTGACAGACAAGTGCTGCACCTCCTCAGGAAGCTGGCTTCTCAAAAGCAGGGTGGTTACGCCTACAGACAGGAACTCACAACCCGGGCTGCACAACACCGTACACAGAGTCAGAAAGAGGAGGGAATGTGGTACACCTGGAAACTGAGAAGCCGAGCACAGTGCACAGAAAAGAAGGGAACAGAGATGGAGGACAAGGCAGGGAAGAAAGGCACAGAAAGCACAGGAGGCAGGCAGGAAGGCAGGCAGGCAGGCAGAGAGGTGCTGAAGCACGAAGCAGAGCAGATGGACGGACAGACCCGGAGAGCCAGGTGATGGGAATTACACTTGTTAGCATCCTCTAGGCAAGAACAAGCTAAGTGAGGATTTCCAGGAGGTCCAAGGGTGATGTGATGAGAGGGGCATTTCAAAAAGACAGCCCTAGCCACAGCGGGCTAGGTCTACTGAACAGGGTTGGCATGGGAATGTGAGGCTTGAACGGGACTACAGGCAGGTGTGTTCAAATGCACTGGAACCACCTCCTCCCCCTAATGCTTCCCTACTGGCCAATCCCCCACTGCTGAGCGTGAGCTCACCTTCTCTGACAGGGCCTCCTCTAGCGTGGCCAGCGCAGTGTCCGTGTTGCTGGAATCCGTCTGCAAGGACTTCACTCTGTCTTTCAGGTTGGTCAGTTGCTTGTCTTTATCCCTAAGTTGTTCTTGCAAGTTCTCAATCTAAAAATAAAGATCACCGTTTTTAATGCACATGTTATTCCCTATCCAGAGCCAAGAATCTTCACGTCCTTTCTGTCAAAACAGAAAACAGACATCAGATTATGGAAACCTTTGGCAGGAGGATGCTTCACTTTGACTTACACTCCAAGGCCAAGTTCGGGAGAGCTTCCATTTCATTCAACTTTGTATGTAAACAGTAATCCCCATGAGAGGAAGGACTGTGCAAGCCTTCTCACATGTAATCACTATTATCCCTATCTGTGTCTATCCCTTGTCCCAGATTGTTAAGTCTCAAGTCCAGGGACCTAACGCTGGAACAGTGAACCGGAAAAATGTTTACACAAGATTAACTCATTCATTGGACAGCCATTTATTGGGTGGCCGTTTTGCACCACACGCTGTATCAGTATATGGCAGAACCCATGTACTCATTCACTCACCCCTTGATTCAATATTCAACTTTGCGATATGTCAAATGTTGTCAAGTGGCTGTTTCAAAGTAACCACATGAAAAGCCAAAGAGGTTATCACCAGCAGACTGTTAATGGGAAGAGCTTGCGATAGAAGTCAAATGTAACAAGTACTAAACACTCCATTTGGCAACTAAGTCATGTGCTGGCAACCAACCAGCCACTTTTATCTCCTATCTGCAGCCTGAAATAAACACACCAAACAGTCGATTATAACGCCTGCCCGGCAGCAGCGGCAGCGGCAGCAGCAAGGACCTTCTCTTGGGCATTGCGTACATTATCATTCATGTTTTTATTCTCTGCTTTCAAACCCTGTATTTCTTATCTATGGATTAAATAGAGCCCCACTGTACAAACAATTTATTCATATTAAGGGTTTTAAAATGACAAGGAAAAAAAAGCAGTACAACTCTCAGATAAGTCCATTCAAAATATTTGTATTCTGCACCCAGCTTTCTCAGGGAATCATTCCAACTGCATGTTTCACAATGTATGACTCAAATTGGGATCACTTGAGTCCTCCAGCATGAACCTGGAATGACAATACAAATAGTGCTGGTAGCTGCAGGAGGAGACAGGGACAGCCACAATGAAAGTGCAGCAGTAACAGCACCAACAGGGCTCTGAAGGCAAAGACTATGATTTTGCCAACTGTCCAAGGGTGGGACATGGGCTCGGTTCATTTTTCCAGCGGTTACAGTGGAAAGTAGCAGTGATGGCTTCTTCCCTCCCCGCCCCATTACCTCTCTACTTCTATTCCTCCCTTCATTCCTGTATCCCTCCCTCCTATCTATCTATCTATCTTTCCTTTTTTTTTTTTTTTTTTGGTCTGCCTTAACATTGACATACTGGAAACTCAGCATCTATGTCAAATAGTTAACTTTCTCCTTCACTAAAACACAGTGTGTTCCACTGTTAAAATTTACAGTTCCTCCATGAGGAACACAGGAACTCAAAAAGGCACAATCATCTTCAGTCAAAACTAAGACTTCCTCCACTCCAGACAGGAGTTCACATGGCTCCACAACATCTTAAGCAAATGTATGTGTGCATGAATGTGGATGGCCATGAGTCACAACAATCATGGCATAGAAGAAGCTGGCAGCTGAGAGAACGGACTCCTAAGGAGAGCGTCCATCACAGCTGAGTTTACCCATACCCATGGATACACACTGCAAACACACAGTGACTCCAAGCAAACCCATTAGGATTCCCCTGCCTTTCCTAGCAGACCACGGCCTGGGTAGCGGGCAGAAGTGACTTCCTCTGAGGACATTAGCCCTATGGCGGGGGTAGGTAACCAATTCACCTGATGTTGGGCATCTGAGAAAGAGAAGACAAAGAAAACCAGCTGTGAGTTTAGATGGAATTCCCTGGGACCTCTGCAAACAACGATAAAGATGACAAAGGAAACTGAGAATCAGTGCTCCTCCCAGCAGGCAGGTAGGGCCTAACAGCTGTGGGAACAGGAGATGATGACCCTGGGGCCAGCTGAAGGACACGCCTATTCACCTCGGGTCCCAGTAGACCCACAGACAATGCACACAGGATAACCAGACCCACACCTTAACGTACCCCGACACAGGCAGGGCTGCCCCATTTTAAGAAATGGAGCACAAAGGATTCTTAAGAGAGACACATAGGGTGGAAAATGGTATAGAAGATACAGTTTCTTGCATAAATTTATAAAAATCAATCTATAAATCAATACATACATCCAGTGGTTGGGTGAGGGAATCCCAAGAAACTTTAACCGCTTGGAAGAAGGTTGTCGATGGTAGGGCCAGACGGAAGCGTCTGTTTTTCACTTTTACACATTTTTGTGGTTTTCTGCGTGAATTTTCTAACTACATGGGCTTTATTCCCATGCAGTAACACTGCCAGAAGGCTCTCACCATACACGCTGATGCTAGGGCCGTACTCCAGAGCTTCCAGAGCTAAACAAACTTCTTTCTAAAGTACGCAGCCTCAGGTATTTTGTTGTAGCAAAATAAAAGGGACTAAGATATCAAAGAACAACCAATTACAAACGATTGGTTCCTTTATACCACGGCTGTCATGTCAATGCTTTAAAATGATGCTTACATATAGCAGCAACCTGTGTGCAGCTAACTCTGGAAGCAGAATCCTCAGAGATGATAAAAAAAAAAAAAGCACACTGTAAAATAATTTATCAACCATTTTATTAAAAACAAATATTCTTGTATAGAAACTAAGACATACATATAAAAGGAATCCACTCACACATTTTATTTAGCAAGCAGATGACAAATGATTTAACTTTTGCTCATGCTTTTTTTTTTTAAGATGGCCAACAAGGCTTCATCTTGAAATCAACTACAATATTTCAGATGAGTTCTTTCAATGAGTTTTAAACATTCAAGTGCTTATTTTTTCAAAGGGCTAGTTGTAAGAGAAAATGTTCCTTTATTACCCCTGGGGAAAAAAATGATTGAAATTCTGAAAATTTAAATTTCAGTACATTAGTGAAATGTAAAATTTGGGATGTTTCAAAAAAAAATTCTACAGCTTTCTCATGTTCACACATTGTTATGACAATTGCAAGAAAAACGTTTGGAATCCATTTCTTCAAGGGCTGAGGTTGCACAGGGTTCAAAGAGCAGGAAATAGGAAATAAGCAAATTGCAAATCAGAGAGCAGGAGGTTTAGAGTAGAAAGGGTGGATTTCTTGAGAAATCTCAGATGTTGAGAAGAGCCAATCTTCCTGATATTACACATGAGGCCCTCTTGGAGATGGTCTGCTTAATCGTTCACCATCCACAAGGCCAGCCCAGCTCTGCCAAACAACTCCTACTTCCTTCCAGGAAAAGGCCCTCCTTATCTTTCCCCATCCTAACTCCTAGCTTTTCCTAACTCCACTTTTCATGCGTTTAAATGCTACTCAAACTTTTACACATGAGCACTTTCCCTAGCTATTCCCAAAGTTTCTCCGGATCCTACATATACCTCACACACTGCCTCCTTGGGGCCTGCACTGTGACACAGCAAGTAAAGTTGCCACCTAAGACACTGGCATCCTATATGGGCACCAGATCATGCATGCTCTGGCTGCATCACTTCCCATCCAGCATCCTGCTAAGGGACTGAAAAAGGAACGGATGGATGGCTGAAGCATTTAGGCAGCTGCTACCCACAAGACCCAGATGAAGTTCCTTGGGTCTGGTCAAGTGCAAGCCGTACAGGCCATCAAGGGAGTGAACCACACGATGGAGGATCGCTGTGTCTATGCTCTCTCTCTCTGTAATTTTGACTTTCAAATAAACAAACCATAAAAGAAAAGCAAAGACTGCCTCTGTTCCTATCTCCATAACCTTTCAGTGAATTCAATCAGGTCAACAGCTATCTTATACTCCCTGTTAGCTCTCTGGCTGTGGCACCCACCTGTGTTAAGAGTACCACTCACTGACTTACTGAACTGATGAAAGAAGGAAGGAACCTTGAAGAGAATGGCTGCAACGAAGACACTACAAAAAAAAAAAAAAAAAAAAAGATGGCTGAGTTCCTTCGGCTCTGGCAGTATACATACAGCCTCAGGGGATCTAAAATGCTTAAGCATCTTTATATCTCCAAATATAATCTGACTTCTTTTATGCAACTCTGAAATTTGGTTATTAGCATTTTGTTCTTGACAAGATATTTTTCTTCCCCAGAGTTTTTGTTACCCACACATAAATTATCAAAGTTAACAGCTAAAAGCAAGAGAAACAGCTCAATCTAAGTTCAGCAGGAAAGCTGAGAGTGCATAAAACCACCCGAAAGGTTCTGGGAAGAGCTTCTGGAATGATGCCCAAAGAGTTGATGCAAGGGTTGACTACAAAAATGCTGTTGACCAGCTGCTGACTATTAAACACACCGAGGCTCACCGAGCAGGTTGAGGCTACCATGGACCACTGAACACTGCCAACAGGACTACCATCACAAAGTCCCGTGGCCTTGGCCTTGGAGTCATGGCGGTAGTGGGATAGGCACAGTAATGGGCACAGCCAATGAAACAGTCAAGGAACATACCCTAAGTGCAAGGGAAGATATGCAAACAACTGTTGGTACTTTCACTTTCCGTAACAGCCTTCCTAAAACCAGAAGAAAGGTTATAGCTGGATGGCCAAACAACTGCAAATGATTATGTGCACAACAATAAAGGAGAAGGCTGGCATTCACTCCCAAAGCAGCAAATGGTAGGTTCCTGAGACAATTACTCTGAAATTCTTTTCCCAAGCTCCTGTGGGACTCAAAAGACATGATTCAGACACTTCTGATACAGTCCATGCAAGTCTTTGCTACCAACACTGAGTGAGATATCTACACAAACCATGAGTACTTGTACATCACCCCAACATAAAAGGACATAGTGGACAACCTTGTCAGCAGCATGTTAGGCAAGTGTGGGTGCTGTTGAATTCCCATGTCGGGTGTGGCCAGCACTGCGCATCGGTCATTCATAAGTCATCGAAAACTTCATGGAATGACTGCTGTCTGGCTAAATTGGTCAGACATTGTGGTATGCCTAGA